CCCTGCTGGCCGACTGCAAGGAAGCCCCGGTGTGGGGTCCTGCAGGGAGCATCTCTGGGGTCCACGGCCTCCATGCTCGGAGCTACTGCAGGGACACCAAGGCCTCCTCCGTCCTGCACAGCGCGGGCAGCAGGGGTAGGATCCAGCTGGCATTTCCTTTCCCGTGTGAATCCCCCTCCCCCTGCACCCCCAGTCCCTCCTCAGCAGGACTGCAGGGCCAGGGCTGGGGATTTTATCTGCACAGAACTGAGAGGGGATCCCCCAGGCCCCCACTTCCTTGGCCTCCCAAAGATGAAAAACTTCCATAAGAGCTTTCCTCCTTGAACAGGGTCAGACAAGTGGTGTTTTTTTTTGTTTTTGTTTTTTTTTAAGATGGAGTCTTGCTCTGTCACCCAGGCTGGAGTGCAGTGGTGCAATCTCGGCTCACTGCAACCTCCACCCCGCCGAGTTCAAGCGATTCTCCTGCATAAGCCTCCCGAGTAGCTGGGATTACAGGCGCCCGCCACCATGCCGGCTAATTTTTGTACTTTTTTAGTAGAGACGGGGTTTCACCATGTTGGTCAGGCTGGTCTCAAACTCCTGACCTCGTGATCCTGCCTCAGCCTCCTGACCTCAGGTCATCCACTGCCTCGGTCGCCCAAAGTGCTGGGATTACAGACAGGCCTGAGCCACCGCGTCCGGCCTAGTGGTGGGGTTTCAGGGCGCTCTGCTAACAGCCATAGGCTTCACAGAAAGCACCCCGCCTGGACCCGTTCCCTCCGTGAGGCTGTGGGGTAGGGCCGGTCCCAAAGTCGCGCTCTCATCCTCCACGGACACGCACGGTGCCTGTTCCCAGCCCTGCTTCCGGCTGGGTGCTGGGGAGAGAAGAGGCTCTGGTCTGGCAGGAGAGCTCGCTGTCTGGCCGGGCACATCTGTCCCGGGACCTTATTTCTGAGCCACCGGTGCTGTCGTGGCTGGGAGATGCTGAGTGCCAAGGGAGCGCAGGCCTGGTCGGGGTCTCGGCTACTTCTCTCGGTGGGGAAGCAGGGACAGTGACCCCAGCAGTCCAGAGCCGTGTGAAGATCGACGTGGCCCGTAGCTGGAGCCCGGAACCAGGAGGGAAGCGGGACCAGGGGCTCGTGGTGGCCCCTGGGCCACGCTGACACTGGCTGGGCGCCCGCTGGATGGAATCCCAGTTAACAAGCCGGCCCTGCACTCCTACCTTGATGCTGACACCCAGATTCAGAGGTGGACAGGCAGGTGCCCGCCATGGGGGAGGAAAGAGGAGGCGCCTGCTCCCAGAGGCCCCACCTCAGGTCACGGCCACCACAGGTCAAGAGGACGGAATCACAGCCAAGCAGGGATGGTCTCCATCCTCTTCCAGAACCCCAGTGGGCCCTCGGGTCATGCAGAACACAGCCAGCCAGGTGGGTCCTACCAGCTTGGCATTAATGGGACGACGGACGAACAACAGCCACAGCATCATAAGAGCCTGGGTCAGCCGCCCACACACCCATGCTGGGACCCCGTGAACGCCAGTCGGGGCTGACAGGCCACTGGTCCACTGGGCAGCAGCCTGAGGGTGCACAACCCTGGGCACCACCCCAGACCTGACCCACTGGAAGGGCCTAGCCCACATCTCAGGCAAGCCTCTGCCACATCCACAGCAACCATGCTCCAGGCACTGGCCCTGGGCAGGGTCTGCCTCCCCACCCCTCCCAGGGCTCTGGGTAACTAGACTGGGCCTAGGCCACAGCGTCACCTGGCTGTTGTCTGTTCCGGCACCCAGGGGCCCGCCCTGGGGTGTACCAGGTGCAGGTGACACAGGGTGGACCAGAGATTCAGCCCCCAGGCGCCTACCCGGGAGAAGGCTGCTGCCGAGCTCCAACAAGTGTGTCCTGGAAAATACACAAAATGGAGAACGGGAAGTTGGCTCTGCTCCCAGGTGGCCTGGCCCTGGGCCATACCAAGTGGGAGGTGGGGAGAGCATGCGTCCTGGAACAGAGCGCTGGCCTTCCCTGTCACAGCCATTGCGGGGTCCTCCCGGGTCCCAAGAGCAGGTGGTGGTGGGGAGAGGTCGAGGGTAGAAGTTGGCCTGAGAGCCTGCAGCCTGAAGGCCCAGCCTCAGTTTACCCCATGTGAGGGGGGCAGGCTGAGGGAACACAGACACGTACACTGCAGGCGTCTGGGAGCCCTTCCGAAGCCTCGGCTCCGAGTTCGCAGCAGCTTGAGAATGGGGCTGCCTGAAACCAAGGTCAGCATCGCCCACAGGGAATATCCACAGCCCGCACGGCGGGAGGGGTGGCCCCAAATACGGAGATTTCCAAAATCCTCTTCACCACAGTGTCGTGTGGAACTCGTACCACGTGGATCATCTGAAGTTGTCAACTATTTTAAGATGAGAATTTCATCTCAGTTTGATCTATAAATCTAAGCATCTAAGCAATCTCATGGCCGGCGCGGTGGCTCACGCCTGTAATCTCAGCACTTTGGGAGGCCGAGGCGGGCGGATCACAAGGTCAGGAGATCGAGACCACGGTGAAACCCTGTCTCTACTAAAAATACAAAAAAAATTAGCCGGGCACGGTGGCGGGCGCCTGTAGTCCCAGCTACTCAGGAGGCTGAGGCAGGAGAATGGCGTGAACACGGGCGGCGGAGCTTGCAGTGGTGAACCCAGGCGGCGGAGCTTGCAGTGAGCCGAGATCGCGCCACTGCACTCCAGCCAGGGGGACAGAGCGAGACTCCGTCCCCCCAAAAAAAAAAGAATCTAAGCAATCTCAATGTTTTCAAAAAAGATCACCACGGTGGGAGAACCAGATAAACTTGCCTGCTGTTCAGGAGAAAAAAAGAAATGTGCAAAATAATGCAGGGAGGTGGGGCCTCCAGACAGTGGGTCATAAAGATAATGGGGTTCTGGAAAACTGGGATAAGAGTCTAGAGACAGATGCGAATCCGCTTGCCATAAAGACAGCACTTCAGTGGGGAAAAGAATGCTTTTTTGGGAAATAAAGTTGGGACTATTTAGGGAAAAAAGTTTTGCTTCCTACCTTACTTCTTACCAGGAATACTTTCTCTTTTTTTTTTTTTTTTTTTTTTTGCTGTTTTTTTTTTTTTTTTTTTTCTTTTTTTTTTTTTTTTTTTTTTTTTTTTTTTTTTGAGACAGAGTCTCGCTCTGTCACACAGGCTGGAGTGCGGTGGCGCGATCTCTGCTCACTGCAAGCTCCGCCTCCCGGGTTCTCCTGCCTCAGCCTCCCGAGTAACTGGGACTACAGGTGCCCGCCACCACGCCCGGCTAATTTTTTGTATTTTTAGTAAAGACAGGGTTCTACCGTGTTAGCCAGGATGGTTTCGATCTCCTGACCTCGTGATCCGCACACCTCGGCCTCCCAAAGTGCTGGGATTACAGGCGTGAGCCACCGCGCCCAGCCTTACCAGGAATATTTTCTAAAATTATGTGTAAACATTTAAATATATGAGGGGGAAAAAGAAAACAACACTACATTTCCAGAAGAAAACCTCAAATGTTTTATAATCTTACAGAGGAGAAGATATTCCTGAGATGACACCAAAATGCAGGAGCCGTAAAGGGAAAAAAACTAATGACCAGTAATAATTTTAGATGCCTGGCTTATAGAAAAAAATACACACAAAGTCAAAGACCTAATGACAGACAGAAAAAACAAACGCTTCTACTAGACAAAAGGTGAATTTCCTTAATCTGTAAAGTGCACCTAGAAACCACCACCATCCACCCAACACAAAAATGAGCCAAAAAGATAAAATACAAATGGCTTTTAAATAGTCAAACGTTTATAATAAATATATTTTCCAATCTTGAAATAATTATCAGTGGTAACAATCATCAACGTAAAATAGACGTGACAGGAGCATTACGATGTTTCATTATACTTACAGGAAATACAACTAAAGCTACAGTGAAACACTATCTCACGCCTACCAGGTCTACAAAATCCAGCTTGGGCAAGGTGTCACTGGCCCCCTCTTACATGCTGGTGGGGGAGGGCAATTTGGTACCACCCCTTTAGGGGCCTAAATAAAGCCCCTAGCACTTCTGCACCAAGGAATTTAGCCTAAGAAAATAGTCCGACTTGGGCAAAAAAGGATTTGTACAAGGAATAGTCAAGTTAGCATTGTTCGTTATAAAAGTAAAGACCCTAAATTTCCACAGGAAAGGGGATAAATTCTGGAGCTATAAAACTCCGTTTTCGTGTTAGTCCCACCTGTATCTGAACGTATGGGCGCCCCCTAAGCTACATTAAGCATAAGGACCCCAAGTAAAGAAACTGACCTTTTGCAGAAACGCATGTACACGTTCCTGCATAGACTTTCTCTGTTGACACGTAAGAAACGGGTTTCTCTCTGCCCCAGGGGAGGAGAACTGGGCCTCGGAGGTTAGGACTGGGAAAAACACATCAAGTCTTCACCAAACACCCTTTCAGGCTCCTTGAATTTTCTACCCTGTGCACCTGAACACACTTTTGTTCTCTTGCAAGCAGTTGCTTTGCACTGGCGGCAACGAGGACACGGCGGAGTCCCAGCTCGCAGGGAGCTTAGGTTCTGAAGGCGTCAGAAGACAACACGCTCTGGACGAGCGCAACGCCCAAGGGTCAGCGGCAGCAGCGAGCAGGGGGCACGGGATGCGGGGAGGCTCTTCGGAAGGCATGAAAGTCAGACGGGTTCCGAAACGTGAGCCGCGCTGGGGGGCGCGGCGCACGACCGGGGACAGAAGGAGGCCACTGCGGTCGCAAAGTCTAGGCTGTGCAAAGGCCCCGTGGGCAGCCAGGAGCCCAGGCATTCCCTGCTCTAGCGAGGTTTCCTTCCGAACGTCCGGTCGCACCGCTTCCCATGGAACGGCGGGCGCTGCCCCACAGCACCGACCCCGCGGCGGCCTCCACGCGCCCACGAGGAACTTTAGGCCGAGGGAAGGCGTGGGAGGGGCCGGAAACGGGCAGGGCCGAAGCGGACGGGTCCCTGGCTGGGTCCCAGCGGCCGCCACTTACCACCGAGACCGCCTCTTCGTCCACAGCCTGACGCCAGCCACCGCCGCCATCGCCACTTCCGCACGCGCGCCGCCACTTCCGCTTCCGTCAGTGCCGCGGCCCCGCAGGTGACGCGGCGCCCTTCTCTCGCCCAGGCTGAAGCACCGCCCTCTCTTAAAGGAGCCGCGGACTAGAGCTACTTGGAGGCAGCTTGGGGTCCCGGCCTCGCCACCGCCTGGTCGCGCGACACAGGCTGAACCCTACCCAATCGTAAGGTGGACGACAGGCCACCGGTTCCCGAGTCCTCCCAGTCCTAGGGCTTCTGCCCTAGAGGTCGTAGGAACTCTTCTCGTGACCCCAGCTCCAGGGTCGGCTCCCTCTTCCAGAGGAGACCCTTGGGGCCCAAGCACCTGCCACCGCCCTCTGCTGGACCCCAGCTTCGCCATCTACAAAGGAAGCGGCCTGCTTGCCCGAGCTCTGGGGTCCGTCAAGCGCGGCACCTCAGGACCCAGAGTGCCCTGTCCTGGCCTCTCTGCAGTACGACTGATGGGAAGCTGTCGAGGGGGCGGTCCCACGATGACAGCAGGGCCCCCACGCCTGGCGTCCTCATCGCGCCCACCCAGCAGAGCTCACCAGCCTCCGCAGGAGGTAGGCAGGGCTCCTGGGCTCAAATGCTGCCCCGACCCATCACCACCCAGGCAACCAGCTCCCTAAGGGCCCCCCGGACTAGACCGAGACCCACCCGGCTTCCACAGAGGATAGAACTCATACGGGGGTCCGTGCCAATCTTTCTTGGGGACTCAGGGGCGAAACCTGGGAACCCCGGCCCCCTTTCGAGCTCGCTGAGCCCTCGAGAGAGTGAGCAGAGCCATGAAAGGAAGGAGAGCAGTCCTAAAATTTTAAATCTTTAATTTCCGTTTTCACGTATTTTCTTCTTGCTTCCAAAAGGAAAGGAGTGCGTAGCTCTGTTGCCTGTACATAGTCCACGGCCCCTGGGTCGGGGCGGGGTCCCCTGGGCCGCCCGGGGGTCCACATGCAGCCCCTGGGGGGCCGGCGCGGGGTGAGGTCCAGGGGCCGCCTTATTGCTGAGGTCCGGCCGGTTGGGGCCCCGGCCGCCGCTAGGCGCGCTGGCTGGGCAGCTCCTGGGAGATGAAGCGGCGCAGGCGCTCCAGGTACTGGCTGTAGAGCTCGATGTCGTTGTGCCCGGCGCCCTCCACCCACAGCGGCTCCACGGCCTTGGGGCAGCGCTCGTAGAGGGCCAGCCCGTGCGAGAAGTCGATCACCTCGTCCTCCGTGCCGTGGATGATGAGCACGGGCGACGTGATCTTGGACACCTTCTCGATGCTGCGGGACGGGCGTGGGGCGGGTGAGACCTCGCGCCCAGTCCGGGCCCCGCCCCGCCCCCGTCCCAGCCCCGGCCCGCTCACTTGGGGAAGGCGTCGAAGCAGTAGGTCTTCTTGGTGTCGGGGAAGGCGACGCGCATGCCCGAGGTGAGCGGTGAGTGCAGCACCACCGCGGCGCACTCGTAGCGCGAGGCCAGGTCCACGGTGGGCACCGTGCCGATGCTCTGCCCGTACAGGATGATGCTGTCCGGGCTGATGCCGTACCTGGCGGCGCCGGAGCAGGGTCAGCCGCGGCCTCCGACGCGCGCGCACCCTTCCCGCCGGCGGGCGTCCCCGGGCCCAGCTCCGGATGCGACCCTCCAGTCTCCCCGCTCAGCCAAGTCAGTGGGTCAGGCCCACGCTCCACACCAGTCCCGAGGGCCTCCCCCAGCCCCCAATCACCGCAGCGGTGGGCGGAGCCAGCGGCCCCGCCCCATTCCCTGGCGCTGCCATTCACTGGCGTTTCCTCGCCAGGATCTGCAGGGATCCCGACTACGGAGTGACCCTGGGGCTGGGGTAGGGGAGGCCCTGGCGCCTCTCCTCCTCCTGGTCACCCCTAGGCGCACACTGGGAAGTGTGTGCCCCCCATATCCTGAATGTTTCACGCTTTCCTGCCCGGGTTAGAAAGCCGTTCCTAGTGCACTGGCCCGGACAGGGGATACTCTTCCTCCCTGCAGCCCTTGCCCACCCCCTTGGCCATGAGGAATTCAGGCAGCTGTGTCCCCAGATGTCTCCACCCAATTTTGGACTCTCAGAGTCCCCACACCCAGTGAGGTGCCAGTGCAACCCAGGTGAGCATCAAGGGTGGTGGCTGCGGGGGTGGCACCTCCACCCACCAGCACCTTCCCTTGGGAGTGGACAAGTCCTTGGCCACCTCAGCACCACCAGCTCCCACCCAGGGCCACCCCCACCCCCAGGTCACTGGTGTGCGGCCCCTGGCCCAGCTGATCCAGCACCAGTTCCAAGGCCTCCTCGTCCCCAGTCCCAACCATGCGGGACCCGCCTGCCACCCTGCCCATGCCGGGACCCCACAACTCTCCCCCCAACACGCTCCAGGCTCTGATTCCAGGCAGCTGCCCTCCTGCGAGGCAGGAGCATGGGCAGGTGTGCGTCCCGTCTGCCTGGCATTCGGACTCCACCAGCAAGCCTGTCCCTGTCCCTGGCCTGGAACCCCAGTCTCCTGGCAGTACTCCAGCTCAGCACTCACCCATGCCCCAAAGGGTGCTGCCTGACTTGTGCCTGCGGCCCCAGCTCTGCCCCAGCCTCCCTGGCCTGCTCCCTAGCAGCCATGGCCAGTAGTGTGCTGAGTCAGCCCAGCCGTCACCTGCTCCAGGCAGGAGACCCCAGCTGCCACCTGGATGTCACCACTCAAACAACAGAACACATCCCCAGTGGAGGCCCTGGGCATACTCTGGCCTCCCCCTCACAGCTCTGGGCCTAAGTTCCTGCAGGCAGCACAGGACAGACGGCCGAGCAGACAGAGCTCAGAGCTGGCCATGGCAGGTGTGACTCTGCCAGTGCCCCGGGCAGTAGACAGGAGAGGCCGAGGAAGCCGCATGAAGCGGTGGTCGGTGTCAGTGCCCCACACTGCCGGGAGGCCCCCAGAGCCAGGGTGGTGCCAGGGTACCCAGCTCCCAGGCCCACAGCAGGGACTGCCTGGGATATCGCCAAGGCAATGAGGACCCCACCTCCCCAGGGCCTCTGACTTCTCAGAGCTGCGCCTGGTCCCTGCGGGAGTGGGTCAGACCAGTGGGCTGGGCAGGGCCAGGACGAGACAGCCCCAGTGCGTGGTGAGCAGGAAAGGCCTCCAGAGGCCCACCCGGGTCTCCTCGTCGAAAGCAGCACCAGCCTGGGCAGTGTTCAAACACCGGTGAAGAGCCCAGGCAAGCGCAGGGCTGGGGACCTGGATAGCCAGGAGGGCTGGATCTGGAATCAAGGCTGGCCCAGACCTTGACCCTGCCCTGGGACCGCCGAGCTCCACAGCCACAGGGCCTCATGGGCCAGGCCTCGGGACCTGGATGCAGCAGCCTCGCCGCACCTGGCCCCAAGTGCTGCCTCAGCCGATGGGCTCCCAGCCACATGTGCAGACCCCCAAACACCACGAACCCCTCCCGCCAGGTGGCATCCACGCCCCTGTGACAAGCTCAGCCCCTTCCCATCTTCAGGCCAGGGGCTCCCAGGAAGCCTGGCTCCACAGGCCAGGGTGTGGGAGGACCGCCTGGCCACACCTCGGCCACATGGAGGCGGCACCCACACACCCGAGCTCGCCTGTCTGGCTCTCTGGCCCTGTGCGTCCACTGTGGCTCCCCTGCTGCAGGGCCACCCACCTTCCTCCCAGGGAAGCCCGCCCCCCCGGCCCAGTCCCCTCTCGAGTGTGCCCAGGCTGAGCTGCCTCCAGGGCTGCCCTCACCTGGTGCGCAGGGCCTGCCAAGCGGCGTCAATGTCAGCATAGAGGTTCCTCTCGGACGGCCTGCCCGAGCTGGCACCATAGCCAGAGTAGTCATAGGAGAAGATGTTGCAATGGAGGCGGGAGCCCAGGCCAATGTAGAAGCTGCTCATCTGGCCCAGGTCCACGGCGTTGCCGTGCGAGAAGAGGACCGTGTACCTGGGGCAGGCCGGGAAGGGCCATTCACATCCTCATTCCCAGCGCCCAGCTGCAGGGCAGGAGGACGCGTACTGACAGCCCACCCCGGTGGCCAGCCATGCCCAGCGCCTTGTTTACTCCCCTCCCAAGGGGGCCCGAAGCCAGCGAATGGACAGGGGAGGCTACGACAGCACAGCTCCATCTCCGGGGGTTCCCCATGGGGAGAGAACAGGAGAGCCGGCAGGGGTACAGGCAGCCTGGGCTGCAGAGAGGCCAGCCAGGGAGCCTCAGGACTCCCATCTGTGAAGCGGGACACTGGGACCATTGGTCACATCCTCTCTCTGGGCAGACGCGCAGTGTGTGCCCGGATGCTGCAGGTCTCGCTGCCCTGCAGCCCTTCCTCCTGGAAGAGCCGGGACCCCCGGGGATGGAGCACACAGGCCCACCTTTCAGGACCTTCCCAGGGAAGACCGTGCTGCTGCTGGCAGGGCTATCTGCCCTCCCCTCACAGAATGGTGCCCTCACTGTTGGGAACAACTGGACCCCACCCCTGCCCCCAACAAGCAAATGCGCCCAATCCCTGCTCACATTCACGCAGCCCCTCCTGCCCCGCCACCCTGCCCAAGCCCCGAGCCCATGCTGCAAGGCCTGTCTGCTTCCCAGCACGGGAGCTGCCCCAGGTGGTGCCAGGAGCAGGCGGCCAGGCTGGCCCTACCATGGACTGCTTCCTCCAGTTCCCCCAGGACCCTGCCCAGCCCAGCCAGAAGGTAAAGGCTCGCCCTCTGGACTCAGATCTGGTCAGAACCCCACCTGGCAAGAAGGCGGATGTAGGTCAGGGCGGCCCCTGTGCCCCACCCCAGCAGGCAACCACCAGGGGCTGGGTCGCTGGAGTCGCCCGGCCTGCCCAACTATGCCAGCTGGGGATGGCCTCCCTGAGCCTGGTATCCTTGTCTGCGAGAGGAAATCGCTGGAGGGATGAGGCCAGCCCGGCCGGGGACACCACCCATGCCAGCTGGATGGCCCTTCACAGCAGGCTCAGGCCCTCTGGGGCACCACCAACCACACCAAGCACCCGGGGCAGAAACGGGAGCCCCAAGAACAGGGTGACCCAGCCTGGGCGCGGCCACAGCTGCTCACCTGGCACCAGGCACGCAGCGAACATACATGCAGGAGACACGGTTGCCGCGGGCGCTCTTCGTGGGGAAGACCTCGATGGTGTCCAGCTCGCGCTGGCTGTACTGGAAGTCGGCACGCTCCGTCAGGTGCAGCTTCCAGCGCCCGGGTGCACCCGAGGAGGCCCGCAAGGTCCCCAAGGGGGCGGCCCCGGCCCCACCAGGCCCTGACTCGGGTTCAGGCACCAGGGAGTAGGTGGCCTCTGGCGGCAGGAAGGCGAGCTTGGCAGCGATGCGGCCGGGGCAGGGCGGGCAGCAGAAGAGGCAGCAGAGCTCACTCAGCGACAGCCCGTTCATGGCGGGCGCCGCCCGGGCCGGGCCTCCACCGGGGCCCCCGCCAACAACGCCACCCGGCCTGGCCCAGCAGGGGAGGGGTGGGGGTGCTCCGAGTTGCGGGCAGGGGGGAGGGCGCCCCCACAGCTACCGCCCCAGACAGGAGCCCCGTTAGGAGGCCAGGGCCCAGCCCCATCGCGGTCCAAGCCGAGCCCCAGGGAGCCTTGCGACCACAGGTCTCCATGTCGTGCCGTGGGAAGCCCTGCGGGGGAACAGTGGTATGTGGGGTCCTTTGGGGGTGCCATGGTCCAGCTGGGCACCCCCGGTAGGTGGGGCATCCACCCGTGCCAGGGGGCGGCATGGGCCCAGGGCCTGTCCATCCCATCCCCTCAGCCCTCCCCGCGGCCTGTCAGGCACTGCACCCTACAGCTCAGGGAACCCCAATTCAGCCCCCTCTCCACGGGATGAAGGACCCCCCACCCTCCCTCAGCTGGCGATCACCACCTCTTGCCATGTGAGCACAGCCTGGGCATGCAGGGCACGCAGGGGATATGACCCCAGCCCCGCCCACCCCCCAAACGTGGGCTCCAGCACCAGGGAAACCCCATGCACCAGGACTCGGTCCGCACTGCTGCCCACTCCCTCCCCAGCCCATCTCTGCCACCCTACGGGTGATGGGCCGCTGAGGCAAGGACAGAGCTCGGACTCAAGGGACTGAGGAGGGACCTGAACAGGCCCCGCTACGTGAGCGTGCACAGGGGCCAGGCCCCACCGGCCTGCGATGTCTGGAGACAGAGGAAATATAACAAACAAAGGCTCTAGAAACAAAGGCAGGATACATCCCAGGCTCCCAGGGCCCTGAGAGCTGCGACAATGGCTCTTCTCTGTGCTGGGGCCAGGCCTGCTGAGGGGCAGGGGAGGCGGGCTGGGGTCAGGGGGTCCTTCTCCAGAGCTGATTTAGGGTTCCGTGACCTTTGGCAAGTCACTTGCCCTCCTGAGGCCTCAGTGTCCTCATCTATAGGCGCAGACACCACATACCCCACAGGAAGTCAAGTGAGGGGGGAGGGGAGCGAAGGCGCCTGATTCAGAGTGGAAACTCGGACCTTCTTCCTTGCTGCAGAACGTCATGAAACGCATTAAGTCGACAACAGCTAAGTTGCTAAAGCAAGCACAATAGTGTAAGGAGCTGCCAACAGACAGACGTGAAGAAAACACAAAGGTCTGAGGCGTCTATCTACCGACCACGCTTCTCCTTCAGACGGGAGCGAGGAGGGAGACACGCTCACAACTCAATTTCAGCAGCAGAACACCCTGGAATGCTGGGCTTTTGGGTCACAGCACGAGAAAACCGTGGGGCCAGGAAGATGAGGCTCAAAGGCAGATGTGGACACAGATGGACACGCAGGCGGCTGCAGGCGCCACAGACACGGCTCGTGGGGACACCCTCACCACCAAGGAGCAGCCTCAGGCCCAGAAACACACCTGCTCCCTCAAGACCTGTGTGAGACCCACACGTGCCCGTGAGCCGGCCTTACGGGCACACGAGGAGGAGAGGAGAGAGCTCTGAAAGCCAGGGTGGGGCAAGGATGGCATCACAGCGTCCCCCAGACTCCCAGGCGGGAGGCAAATCTCACAGGCAAGCACTTCTCAGGGGGGAGGCGGACTGTCATGCTGGTTCTGCTTCTCAGATGGAGGCAAATCTTCCCCCCGGGGACACCTGTCAATGTCTGGAGACAGTTTTGGGTGTCGCCACTGGGGACTGGGTGGAGGCTGCTTAGCACGCTGCAGTGCCCAGGACAGACCCACCCCAAAGAATGATCAGGCCCAACATCCACAGCATTGAGGTTGATGTCAGCTTTTCAACATATTCTCAAAGAGGTCCGGGCCCTATCGGTGCTGCCCTGCTGGTGCCGGGGGCTTGGAGGGCCCTGCAGTTTAGGTGGCATCATGCAGCTGGGTCCTGAGAGCCCAGTGGGCAGTAGCAGGCCCCTGGAGACCCCAGAGACCAAGGGGCACACCGAGGTGGCCAGGGCCCCATTAACCACGCCAGAAACAAAGATGCTATCCTTGACACCTCCTTCCACCCACCGGATCTGAGCCAGTCCATCACCAGCCCAGTGGCTCTGCCTGTCTCCCATCAGCCACCGCCCGGTCCCCGCCTCCATCACCTTTCACCAGAGCTACAGCAACAGCCTCGCTCCTTGCTGATCACCTGCTCCAGGACATTCTCCCCCAACAGCCAAACAATTGTTCAAGACACAAATGCAATGGTGGCACTTCCCTCTTGGGGTGTCCTGGGGGCCTCCCATTATTCTCTGGATAGAGATCAAAGTCCTCCCCACAGACTGCCAGGTCTGCATTCCGGCTCAGGCCAACCTCTCCAGACTCACTCATCTCACACCCTGCCACCCCTGGCTCTCCTAAGACAAGCCACATTGCTCCTTCCTGCCTCTGCTCCCCTGCCGGGAACTCCCTTCCCCAACCTCACTAAATAGCCTTGCCCATCCCAACCACCCTTTGCACCTTGCTGCCAACAACGCTCTCAGAGTCCTCAAAGCTGGGACAGGACCCCTTATACACTCTTTCCACAGCTTGTATTTTTCACACATTCGGCCAGATCTCCCCCCACCCCCAAACCAGAAACTCCATGAGAGCAGGACCATGACCTGCCACTCACTAAAGGAATGGGCAGGTGGTAAGCAGCAAAGAATTAGGGAGGAAACACAGGAGGAAAAGAATCCCCAAGGTCCGACAGCTTTGACAGGGAAAGTCTAGTCTCCTCTCCTCTCCAGCCACAGGTACCTGGAACCTCCCTAGTGTCATTAATGGGCATGGACTGCGGAGTGCAAACCCGGACGCTTCACTGACTGAGCACACACCCTTGACACCCTGAATCCCACCAATTCCGTTCCCAAGCACATAACTGGGCACCCCTCTGCGAGCTAGAGGTGTTCTGAGGACCAGTAAGCAACCAAGCAGCCAAAATACTGGAAGATGACCTACATATGGGAGACGATGACGGCACCTCACTCAACCAGTCAGGGTGGGAATCCCGCCTGGGGGGAGGTGCGGCCATATCACAGGGCAGATAAACGGGCCAGGTGACAGGGGATGGGACAGAGGGACAAGCAGGGGCAAAACCTCAGAGGTGACAGAGCAGACTCCTGGCTAGAGCAGACCCTGGGAGGAAGAAGTGAGCAGATGGGTCCCAAGAGAGTCTGGGACGGGTGAGGTCGCGCCCCCGAGAGCCCTGCTGCGGAGTTTGCACTTCATCTTGGGAGAAATGGCGGGGCCACGGAGAAGTCCCGAGCAGTGGATGGACAACACAGGAGAAGGGCTGCATCCCGGAGAACGGACGCGAGCGGAGGCCGGGAAGCCTGCCCAGGAGTCAAGGCGGCAGGAAGACGCCTGACAAGAGAAACAGCAACTGGGAGCTGCTTGGGAAGCGGGGCTCGGCAGGGCCCCTGGGAGCTGCCAGGGGGGCCCAGAGGACGAAGCGGTTGTAGGGCTGGGGGCAGTTTCGGGGTAAAAGAGCGGAGTCCACGGCTCGGAAAGGCGATCCCCGAAGGCAGGGGCCGCGTCCGCAGGAGGGTGGGAGCGCAACCCACGTCGGAGAGCTGAATGGATGGGGACAGGGCTTTCCCAATCACAGACGCTCACCCGCGGTCCCTGCCCCTGCTCCGGGCTCCTCGGGCAGGACCCGCGGCAGCCCTGGGACTGCAGGGGAATCGGGGGCGTCCAAGTGGGCTGCCAGGCCCTCGCGGCCCGGCCAGGGTCCCCAAACGGCCGCGGCCGGGACCGAGGCCACCCCGCGCGGCCGCGCCCGCCCCTGCCCGGCACTCACCACCTCGGCCCGCGCCCCGGGGCCCCAGGGCCGCGCTCCATGGCTCCCGGCCGCCCGCCCGTGCGTCCGTCGGTCCCTCCGCGCCCCGGCCCGGCCTCCTGCGCCGCCACCGCCGCAGCTCCCCCGCGGGCGGAAGTGAGCCTCGTTCTCGCCACCGCCCCGGAAGTGACGCGCAGGAGAGCGCGGGGGGCTGCAGGAACAGAGCGACCGCGGGACTAGCGTTCCGGGGGCGGGGCCTGGTCTCAGGGGGCGGGGCTGATAGATCGACGGGCGTGGTCTGCTGGTCTGTGGGCGGAGCCAAACGCAGGTTTCATTCACTTGGGGACTCGGAATAGCTTGAGGCCAATGAAGTTCTCGCCTCGAAAACAAAATTTATAGGGATGCCAAAAAAACTCAGACATTAACATTTAGAAATGTTTTAAAATATTTTTATTTCTGAGACGGAGTCTCGCTCTGTCGCCCAGGCTGGAGTACAATGGCGCAATCTGAGCTCACTGCAACCTCTGCCTCCTGGGTTCAACCGATTCTCCTGCCTTAGCCTCCCGAGTAGCTGGGATTACGGGTTCCCGCCACCACGCCCGGCTAATTTTTGTATTTTTAATAGAGAGGAGGTTTCCTCATATTGGCCAGTCTGGCCTCCAACTCCTGAACCCAGGTGATCCTCCCGCCTCAGCCTCCCAAAGTGCTGGGATCACAGGCATGAGCCACGCGCCCGGCATCTTTTTTTTCAACATGGAGTCCACTGTGTCACCCAGACTGGAGTGCAGGGGTGCCATCCTAGCTCACTGCAGCCTCGTCCTCCCAGGATCAAGTGAACCTCCCATTTCAGCCTCCTGAGTAGCTAGGACTACAGGCACAAGCCACCATGCCCAGCTTATTTAAAGCCTTTATATATTGCTCATCAGCAATTCTTTTGCATGAGTTTTTAAAATATTACATTAGGCCAGGCACGGTGGCTCATGCCTGTAATCCCAGCACTTTGGGAGGCTGAGGCAGGTGGATCACCTGAAGTCAGGAGTTTGAGACCAGCCTGACCAACGTGGTGAAACCCTCTCTCTACTAAAAATACAAATATTAGCGGGGCATGGTGGTGTGCACCTGTAGTCCCAGCTAGTCCGGAGGCTGAGGCAGGAGAATCACTTGAACCCAGGAGGCGAAGGTTTCAGCGAGCTGAGATCATGCCACTGCACTCTAGCCCAGGTGACAGAGCAAGAAGACTCTGTCTCAAAAAAATAAATAAATAACATTATGATCACTCCACTGCATTCCAGCCTGGGCAAGAGAGCAAGATCCTATCTCTTTAAAAAAATTGCATTATGGCCTGGGCACAGTTGCTCACGCCTATAATCCCAGCACTTTGGGAGGCCAAGGCAGGCGGATCACAAAGTCAGCAGATCGAGACCATCCTGGCTAACACAGTGAAACCGTGTCTCTACTAAAAATACAAAAATCAGCCGTGCGTGGTGGCGGGTGCCTGTAGTCCCAGCTACTCAGGAGGCTGAGGCAGGAGAATGGTGTGAACCTGGGAGGCAGAGCTTGAAGTGAGCTGAGATAGCGCCACTGCACTCCAGCCTGGGCGACAGAGCAAGACTGTCTCAAAAAACAAAAAAAAATTGCATTATGGCAGGGCCTGGTGGCTCACGCCTATAATCTCAGCACTTCGGGAGAACGAGGCAGGCAGATCACCTGAAGTTAGGAGTTCGAGAGACCAGCCTGGCCAACATGGTGAAATACCGTCTCTACTAAAAATACAAAAATTAGCCGGCTGTTGTGGGCCGGTGGCCACCTGTAAGATAAAATGGCCAGAGTGGACTCCGCTAACACTACCACCACTAGCACTCCCAGCCTGAGGCGACAGAGCAACGAGGCACAGTACTCCGCATCTCCAAAGAAAGAGCAAAAAAAAGAAAAGAAAATAGAAGAAGGTTACTGGAGAATCTCAGAGCGTGGTCGGGGCAGGCATTTCTAAGGAGGTGACAGGGACAGGGACAAAAAGGGCTGCAGACACCAAAGGGGCCCAGCCTGGAAGTGAGAGTATGAATTGGTGGGAAGCCTTGCTTTTCAGGCCTTCGCCCTCTTGCACGTGCCTTTCCCCCAGCTTTCGTGCCTTTTCCAGCTCAAAATGCTTCTCCAGCCTGCAGGTAGCTGCAGCCCCAGCTCCGTCCCAGGGACTGTGATCTTAGCTCCACTGTACTGAGATAAGCCTGAGGTTCCTGGGCCAATCCTGCCCCCAGGGCCTCATTCCTCAAATTCAGGACAGAGCTGTCAGGGAAGGATTCAGGCTCCAAAGACTGGAGACTTAGAGACAGCCCAGGGTTTCTTTGCCTCATTTTCTATCTTTCTTCTTCTTTTTTTTTTTTTTTTTTTTGTTGTTGTTGTTGTTGTTTTGAGACAGAATCTTATTCTGTCACCCAGGCTGGAGTACAATGGCATGATCTCAGCTCACTGCAACCTCCACCTCCCAGATTCAAGCAATTATTCTGCCTCAGCCTCCCAAGTAGCTGGGATAACAGGCACCCGCCACCGCACCCGGCTAATTTTTGTACTTTTAGTAGAGATGGCGTTTCACCATGTTGGCCAGGTTGGTCTCGAACTCCTGACCTCAAGTGATCTGCCAGCCTCGGCCTCCTGAAGTGCTGGGATTACAGGCGTGCACCACCACACCTGGCTGCTTTGCCTCATTTTCTGATTTTCCGTTGTTGTTGGACCTCTGGCTCCCCTGTCCAGGACTCAGTTGCCTGGGTCTCCCTGGGACTGTCAAGAGCTACCCCAGCGTCCCCCTGCCTCTGCTGTCTCCCTCGAGGCTCCCAGCCTCCGCTGAGGTTCTCCTGAGGTCCAAAGGTCAAAACAAGTCCAGGCTTCTTCCTAGGTCCTTGTGAATTCTTTTTTTTTTTTTTTTTTTTTTTTTTTTTGTTGAGACAGAGTCTTGCTTTGTCGCCCAGCCTGGAGTGCAGTGGCCAGATTTCAGCTCACTGCAAGCTCCGCCTCCCGGGTTCACGCCATTCTCCTGCCTCAGCCTCCCGAGTAGCTGGGAGTACAGGCGCCCGCCACCTCGCCCCGCTAGTTTTTTTGTATTTTTTTAGTAGAGATGGAGTTTCACTGTGTTAACCAGGATGGTCTCAATCTCCTGACCTTGTGATCCGCCCATCTCGGCCTCCCAAAGTGCTGGGATTACAGGCATGAGCCACGGCGCCCGGCCCCTTGTGAATTCTTTCAGCATCAGGGCCAGAAGAGGCCTGTCCCCAGCCTCCTTCCCCCTCCCAATCCCTGCAGCCCCTTCCCACTGTGAGCGAGGCAGGACCAGGGCTGGACCGCAACAGAGAGCCCAGCTCCCCCGTAACCACAGCCCCCAACAGGGACACAGGGAGACACCATCCAAGGGGAGGAGGATAAGCCCACAGAGTGGCCCACCAATCCAAGGCCACCTGGTAAAAGGTAAACGCACGCTGTAAACACCCAAACGTCTCAGAAGGACACCCATCCCTTCCTTCCTCCTCCCTGGAGACTCTTTGTGATCAAGCCTCTGTCCCAGTCGTCCCAGAAATAGTGGGTGCCGTGGCTCATGTCTGTAACCCCAGCATTTTGGGAGGCCGAGGTGGGAGGATTCCCTGAAGCCAGGAGGCCACCGTGCCTGGCCGTTGAAGCCCCATCTCTACTAAAAATACAAAAATTATCTGGGCGCCGGGCGCGGTGGCTCAAGCCTGTAATCCCAGCACTTTGGGAGGCCAAGGCGGGTGGATCACAAGGTCAGGAGATCGAGACCACGGTGAAACCACGTCTCTACTAAAAATACAAAAAACTAGCCGGGCGAGGTGGCGGGCGCCTGTAGTCCCAGCTACTCGGGAGGCTGAGGCAGGAGAATGGCGTGAACCCAGGAGGCGGAGCTTGCAGTGAGCTGAGATCCGGCCACTGCACTCCAGCCTGGGCGACAGAGCGAGACTCCGTCTCAAAAAAAAAAAAAAATTATCTGGGCATGGTGGCAGACACCTGTAATCCCAGCTACTCTGGAGCCTGAGGCAGGAGAATCACTTCAACCTAGGCGGCGGAGGTTGCAGTGAGTGGAGATTGTGCCACTGCACTCCAGCCAGGGCGACAAAGTGAGATTTGGTCTAAAAATAAATAAAATTTAAAAATAAAATTAAAAATGAGGCCAGGCACAGAGGTTCACGCCTGTAATCCCAGCAGTTTGAGAGGCCGAGCTGGGTAGATCACTTGAGGTCAGGAGTTCACGACCAGGCTGGTCCACATGGGGAAACCCCATTTCTACTAAAAATACAAAAATTAGCTGGGTTTTGTGGTTCAAGCTGGTAATCTCAGCTACTTGGGAGGGTGAAGCAGGAGAATCGCTTGAGCCTGGGAGGCAGAGGTTGCAGTGAGCCGAGATCGCACCATTGCACTCCAGCCTGGGCGACAGAACAAGACTCAGTCTTCAGAAAAAATAAAAAATAAATAAAAATGGGCCGGGCGCGGTGGCTCAAGCCTGTAATCCCAGCACTTTGGGAGGCCGAGATGGGCGGATCACTAGGTCAGGAGATCGAGACCATCCTGGCTAACACAGTGAAACCCCGTCTCTACTAAAAAATACAAAAAACTAGCCGGGCGAGGTGGCGTGCGCCTGTAGTCTCAGCTACTCGGGAGGCTGAGGCGGGAGAATGGCATGAACCCGGGAGGCGGAGCTTTCAGTGAGCTGAGATCCGGCCACTGCGCTCCAGCCTGGGCGACAGAGCCAGACTCAGTCTCAAAAAAATAAAAATAAAAATAAATAAATAAATAAAAATGAAAAAAAACATACATTGAAAATGGAGGGAGCCACTAGTCCCTCTTCCCCTTCATAGTCGGCCCCAGCCATGCTGGCCTTAACAGGAGGGCTCCTGCCTCAGGGCCTTTGCAGGCACTATGCCTCCTGCCTGGACTGCCCTTCCCCAGATCGCCCCATGGCTTCCTCTTCCAGCGTCCTTTGACTCTACGAGAAGGCCACAACCTTTAAGAGCTCCTGCTAACCACCCCAGCTAAATCCCAACCACATACACACACCTCTACCCCATTACCTCTGTCCCATGCCTCTGTTTATTTCTACCACAATACTCACCACTCACAGATTCTCTCTCTTTTTTTTTTTTTCTTTTTGAGACAGAGTCTCACTCTGTTACACAGGCTGGAGTGCAGTGGCTCGAGCTTGGCCCACAGCAG